CACACACACACACACACACACACACACACACACACACACACACACACCCACCCAGGGAAGCCAAATGATTAGTCCAAAGTCCCTTCATTAGTTGGGGAAACTGTTAGGGATCCTAAATCCTACCAAGCCTTTTATCATCCTTTATAAAAGATAAAGTGAAGATTAAGACTTCAAACTTTGTCACTTCAAACTAGTTTCTATTTTATTGCATATTATCTACTTATTTAGCACTATTAAGAGATGTCACAATCGGCCAGGCGCGGTGGCTCAAGCCTGTAATCCCAGCACTTTGGGAGGCCGAGGGGGGTGGATCACGAGGTCAAGAGATCGAGACCATCCAGGTCAACATGGTAAAACCCCGTCTCTACTAAAAATACAAAAAATTAGCTGGGCATGATGGTGCGTGCCTGTAATCCCAGCTACTCAGGAGGCTGAGGCAGGAGAATTGCCTGAACCCAGGAGGCGGAGGTTGCGGTGAGCCAAGATCGCGCCATCGCACTCTAGCCTGGGTAACATGAGTGAAACTCCGTCTAAAAAAAAAAATTAAAAAAAAAAAAAACAAAAAACATATCACAATCATATTAATCAGAATGATAAATACAGAAAATAATTATGTGCCTATTTAAAAATTCATGATTGCATCTCTTTTTAGGAAAATAAATTTATCATTCAGATTAATTCACAACAATGTAAGTTAATTTTCTTCTTTACTGAATTACTCTACTCATTTATACTTTCCAGTGAACTTATGAGATTTTCAAAAAGTAAAATACTTAACTCCCTTCTCTATGAAACTCTAGCCTGGTTCTCTCCTTTTACTTCCATGATCGTTCTTCCCTTGCGGCTTCCTTCTCCCAGCCCATAAGTACAGGCCTTCTCCAAGCTTCTGCCCTTAGGTCTTTTCCTTCAACACCTCCATCTCACATATGGAGCCTCTATATTCCATACTGATAGCCACTAGATCTTATAAAATACCAGCTCCGAAATCTCTCCACTTTTCACATTGCCCTCCATGCATTGTTATCTAACTTCTGGAATCATCTCCACCTCTGCTTGCTTCTTTTTACAATTAATGTTGCACACTCGTGTCAGAATCAGCTGGTGGTGTCCTATTTCCTAACAAATCTTCCCAGAAAAGTCATTTTTAAGGTCATTCATTATCAGGCCTCTTTACCCTTCCAGCTTTATCTTCCGTTATACCCTGCCTACTCTGTACTCACTGGTTCATTTATTCTTTCATTCAACATACTACTCATGATATCTGCTATGGGCCAGGAAGCATTCCGTCCTATAGCATTCTGGCCGATTTCTCTCTCAGAAATAAGAGACAGAAATTCTTGCCCTCACAGAATTTACATTCCAGTAAAGAAAGATAGTGTCAATAAAAGTATACATTAAGCGGTAGCTACTCAATATTCCCCAAGTACATCCTCACACGCATGATTCAGTGACTTTGTACATAATGTTCTCTTAACTTATTTTGTCTTTCCTGTCCTGCAGAAATGCTACCTAACCTTAAAGGTCCAGTTTAAATGCCTCTTCCTCAAAAGAAAGTCTTCCTTTCCTGATCTACATTAATTGTGCCCTCATAACATGCTATCTTATATAGGCCTAACTGACATGAAAAAAAAAAGTTAACTATCCTTTTTTTTTTTTTTTTTTTCACTTATCATATACTATATTTTCTATAAAATGGTATCATCTGTATAGGATTAATCCCCTAAGAAAAAGAAAGTGCTCACTAAACACTGTATTAATACTATCCACAAAGTGGATGCTCAATAGATATTTGAACTGATACACTCTTTCCACAGCCATTACATGGCCAAAGAAAGTTTTACTAAACAGTAGCAAATGGAACATGTGATTTAATAATTAAAAGAGAGAAACAATCTTTTGAGTCAAATCTAGATTTCATTTATATCTTACAAATAACTAAAAAGATCTATCTGTAGAATTAATATAACTCTAATTTACAGCTTTTGTGCTGCTTCAGTCCTCTAAAGACATTATAAGTGAGAAGGGTTATAAGAATAAAACAAATTATTAAAAAAAAAAAAAAAAAAAAAAAAATTTTTGGGAAATATACCAACCAAAAAAAAAAATCTAGGAGGGTGGTTCTTCTTCTTCATCTCCATATGACTTTAGATTATCCTGATCATACTGTGGTAACTCAGGCATCAATCTGGAAATAAGGACATTATTTTTAAATATGTCATATTAAACTGTTTACTAAGTCATGTTCAAGAACAGAAAAGTCAATACTTATTTTATAATGAGTAAATGTTTAAATGAGTCTTCTCTAAAATAACTACTATAGCCAGGACTATTTAAATATAAATTGTGTATAGAGAATGATAACCTAAAAGATCAAGCAACTTGGGTGTCCCTACAAGTGAAACAGTCAGATCTCCTTCTTTTAAAAATTTTACTTTTTAATTAAAAGTAAAACCTAAGCATATATTCTATTTTTTTTTTTTAGACCACTGTAACATTGATTCAATTGGATGAATTCTTACTTGTATAGCATATGATAAACAGCAATTTGCACAGGCCTAGCTCTGAAGAGGAGTAATGGGGCCAATGTATTTAACAAAGTCTGGAGATACTCTGGTAAGTTTGTTTTTTGGTCCGCAACTAATCTTGCAGAAAGTTTGTGACTCAGTAGCTGCTCCTTTGAGATATATGTTAATGTTTCACACATGGGTTTCAGCATTGCATTCTGAAAGGATGTTTCAGACATATCTTTGTTTTCTCCTAATGACAAAAAGGAAAGACATGCATGTCCCAGAAAAAAGTTAGTATAGCATAACTGATTCACAATCAAATGTCATTTTAGAAAATGAAATAAAAACTAGACATAAACAACAAAGCAGTCTTAACTAGAAACATGAACTGAATATGTATTTCAGTTAATCTCAACTATTTTAATGACTTTTATCTGATCCTTTTCTAAAAAGAAAGCAAATGGTCAATAGTGAGGTTCTATTCACATAATCTATTCATGGTATCCAAATTATTATTATTTTAATTTGTAACAGACATTGGATACCTTGCCATTTTTTTCAACTCTTGTCTGTAAAGTAGAAGCATATATGATGCTTCTGAGAAGCCAAGCTTTCTCCTGTGGCTTTTTCTTTTACTACTTAGTATTATTTGATTTTTGCTTTTGAATTTTTCAGTAAGTCATTTCCAATCAATCAATCTCATTATTATTCCCCTTTTCACTTGCCTGTAACAGTCACCAAAATAGGTAAAAGCAAACTGTGGATGCCTTGGGAAAAAAATTCTTTCCATTCACTGATCAGATTTACAGGAAGGCTGCCAATGGTATCCAGAGTTGTGGAATCAAAAAAAGCACTGAGGTCACAGGCCAAATCACAGCTGACACAGGCAAACAGTTGCACAAGTGGAACAGAATACAATGCCTGATTCTCACTGGTTGTCTGAAAAGCAATCAAAATGAAATAGGTAAACAGACTTCTACCAGAACACTACAAATAAAGCCAATAAAGAAAAGCTCCTCTTTCATTTCTTTGAATTTTAAAATGAAAAGCAGTTGAAGTGTGTAGTCTCAGGAGAAATATAAATATTTTACATCAAAATAATTTTTTTCTTCAAAATTAAATACCATGAATTTGAATCATTAATAAACAATTTATTCTGAAATGCCCTTTTTAATTTCTAAACTATGGAAGAAAACACTAAGTCAGATACATTAAATACACATTTCTAATCTTCTCAGTAACCCTACAAGTTGTGAGTTATTATTTTAAAATAAGAAAATTGGCCACAATTAGTGGCTTATGCCTGTAATCCCAGCACTTTGGGAGGCTGAGGTGGGTGGATCACATGAGGCCAGGAGCTTGAGACCAGCCTGGCGAACATGGTGAAACCCCATCTCTACTAAAAAAATAAAAATTAGTCAGGCATGCTGGTGGGCACGTTTAATCCTACTACTTGGGAAGCTGAGGCACAAGAATTGCTTGAACCCAGGAGGTGGAGGTTGCAGTGAGCCAAATCACGCCACTGCACTTCAGCCTAAGTGACAGAGTAAGACTCTGTCTCAAATTAAAAAGAAATGAAAGAAAGAAAACTGAGGCTCAGTAGTTCAAGTTTAAAACTCTAAGTCACGTAGCTAATAGCAGGCAAAGCAGAGATTCAGACCAATTCAACCCTGACTGACTTGCTACCTTGGAGCCCACAAGTAGTATACCTCTGGCTGCTCTGGGTCATAAAATTACACTAATTACCTCTGAATTTGCTAATATTTAATGCATTACTCTCGAAACACTCACATAGTACATTTTAGAAATAATCTAACTATAACCAAAAAAGACCAAAACAATTGTCATTAAAAGATAAAACCTGAAAGGGCTGTGCTGCAAATATTACAATAAGCTAAAGGAGAAGGCATTTTAATAACAGGAGATTTGGTCACTGAATGATGCTAGTAGTCATTAAAAATCTATCATTTTACTAGTCTGTAAAATAGTAGCTGGTGAGGAGAACATCTATAAAGTGTTTTAAATTATGCAAAGGAGCTAATTACAATCATCACTTAAAGAATGAGATCAGTAAATAGTTCTGATGCAAAAGTATGTACAAAGACCCACAAGAGGTGATGACACATCAGGTTAATTTACCTCCAACCAAGCCAACATGGAGCACATAATGAAGTCCCACTCACTCTCTGCCAAAGGGGATGAGCAGTATTTCAGAAATAGGGAAAGAAACCGGATTATTTCTATATTTACACCCAGTACCTCTGGACTTGCTTCTGATAGATTACTGTGTTAAAGATAAAAACAAATGACAACAAAATAATAATTATAATGGCATTCAATTAGAAAATATTCTACTTTAAATCTTATATACTTATAAATAACCGACTCAAATGTCTACCATAATTGCTCTACCAAATTGTGACACAGATATATAATCTTTGTCTGACTTGTATACTGAAGGAAAAACATAAAGTATTACCTACCAACTGAAAAGAAAAATATCTTCGTGCTCTTTCTTCCAGGATATTATGATTTTTAATATTCCATGTAATAGCTCTCCATCATCTATACTTCTGGTCTGTAGACAAGAATTTAAAATGGCAAGATGTCCAAAACCTCCTAAAATAAAATTCAAAAATGAAAATTAAAAATTTTTAAAAACGATATCGCTACTAATAAAGTCCACTTTGAGAAGTAAAAAACTTTCTTGAGAAGTACTCAGGTTAAGAACTCTAAAAATGGCTCTTCTGTAAGAGTCAAAAAATGAGCTTATAAGCTCCAAAGGCCAGAGACCCTGTCTCCATACCTAGCACCTAGCACACAATAGAGAATTTGGGGGAGGGGAAATTAAGTGAATGATGCTGTAATTTAAACTGACTTATGCCATTTTTTGTTTTGGTTTCTTAAGTGCAGGACATATTCAGTAAACTCATTGTTCAATGAGCTGTAGAGTAGCTGGAAATATAAAATGGAAAACAGAACTTACTGTTTCATAATTTATACATTCATTCCTCAATAAGCAGCTAGTATATGTAGTAAACTCTGATGAGGACCCACTCTTTATAATCTCTACCATTCCTCAAACTCCATCCACTTGTGTATCTTAACACCCTCTACCCCAAACCTTCCATCTTAAATACCAGCCAAAATGAACAATCGGTACCCTTGCATGTTTTTGTGTACCTGGAATGCCCTTCCCCAACTGTGTCCATATAGAAAACTACTTATCCTTCAACATCCAGTAAAAATATTTCTCTTTGTGAAAACACCACTGACACCCTCAAAGCATAGTGGAAACTCCTTCCTTTCTGCCACTTCTATACATAGTACATCTTCTTGCTACATCAGTTATCACATGATACAACTTTATTTATGTTTGTCTTCTCTACAACAGTTAACTGTCATGTAGCTGGTGCTCATAAATGTTATTAATTAACAAATGACAGTGCAGTGTTTTAAATACAACAGAAGCTATTTCTGCCTTTATATGTTCAATCTTTGGTTGACTAAGGAGAAATGAGGCACAGCTTTAAAAAGCTATTGACAGATAAAAAATGGTTAGGCAGTATTTCTGGGTGTAAATCTTCCCCTAAGGCCAGAGCATTTTTGTACTGCAAAATGGTAACAGCCACTGTCTAACGACACTCATCCATATAATCTCAGAACAAATCAACTATAATTCAATTTACTTCTGTTAGATATGGTCTTATATATTAGAAACAGTTCTTACTCTCAAGCAATAATTAAGTTAATGAAATATTTATTATCGAACAACTAACCATTAGTACTGCAAAGATCTTTCTTAGTCCAGGCAAAAAGAGCAGGTATACATTGAGCACTAAATTCTTTCTTTTCTTCTTTTGACAAAAATGGACAAAGACTTTGAATGGTATGCAAATTGCCTTCAGTTAGTGGAAAAAAACTGTTTAAAGAAAAAAAAAACAATTAGATTTCTTCCAAATATACGGTTATTTCATGATATTCCTATTATTTAGACTATTCAAAAAAATGAATAATTCTATCATATAAAATAATTACATGGAAAAAAGAAACCTATGATAGATTTAACAAGTGCTGACTGGACGAAATTTTTTTTTGCCCTTTTCGCTTTTCTGCATATTTCTAATTTTTAAAATGAACATATATAACTTTTCCCCATATATGATTTTTTAAAATTACACTAGCCACATGACATTATGTTCTCTTTTTTAAAAAAAGAGTCAATTTATTCAACTTAAATAGTTGTGTGTCCGTTTTGTTGTTGTTGTTGAGACAGAGTTTCACTCTGTTGCCCAGGCTGGAGTGAAATGGCACAATCTCAGCTCACTGCAACCTCCACCTCCTAGATACAAGTGATTCTCCTGCCTCAGCCTCCCAAGTAGCTCAGATTACAGGCATGTACCACCACATCCAGCTAATTTTTTTTGTATTTAGTAGGGACGGGGTTTCACTATGTTAGCCAGACTGGTCACAAACTCCTGACCTCAGGTGATCCCACCTCAGCTTCCCAAAGTGCTGGGATTACAGGTATGAGTCACCTCGCCCGGCTTGTCTTGTCCTTTCTTTGAACTGATATTCGTATTTGTGCATATATATAGTCAGGTTTTAGTCACATAAAAGGGATGACACTAAACATATTGTTGTATCATTTACCACTTATATATATTTTCTGTCAAGAACGTACAGTCTGTTTTAAGGCTACGTAACAAAAATGAACAAAGTCTACCTAACACTCCATACTATGGATGTATCATTATTTAACTATTTCCCTGTCAGTGAACATTTAGGTTCCCCCCACCAATTTTTGCTCTAATACATAATGCTGAAATAAATATCCTAAAGAAGATATTATTCTGCATATATATAAATACTTTAGACTAAATTCCTAGAAGTGAAATTGTAAGCTCAAAGAATGTGAATGTATTATATGTTGATAATTTCAAATTGCTTTCTGAAAACATGTAATCAACTTATACTTTCACCAAAAATGTACAGATGTGACCCTTTAGCTACACACAGTGAATCTTTTTTATTCTTGGCCATACAGTGGATAAAACTACTGCTTTTAATTTGTACTTCTGTCATTATTAGTAAGGCAAATCCTTTCATATTTCACATTTCAGTATTGAGCTACCTTTGACCATTTTATGTATGAATTGACCCTTCAAGTCTTTGTTAAATTTTTCAATTTGGAGGGTTTTACTGATTTATAGAAACTATCCACATTTTACAGATCTTTATTGTTGATTTGCAAATGTCTTCTCCCATTTTGTCATTTGTCCCTGTAATCTTTATATTTCATATTTTTGTCACAAAGAAGTCATCTTTCAAAAATACTACATAAAAAAATCTGTCATAAAATACACATAAAATTTATGTATTAATCATTTTTAAGTGTAGAGTTCTGCAGTGTTAAGTACCTTCACACTGTTGCACAACTAATCTCCAGAGCTCTTCATTCTGCAAAACTGAAACTCTACCTACTAAACATGAATGCTCCATTCCTTTCTCACCCTCAGCCCCAGATAACCACCTTCTTTCTATTTTCTATCCCTATGAACCAAACTACTCTATTAAAGGAATCATAGAGTATCTGTCTTTTTGTAGCTGGCTTATTTTACTCAGCATAATGTCCTCAAGGTTCATACAGACTGTAGCATGTCAGAATTTCTTTCCTTTTTAAGGCTGAATAATATTTCATTATATGGATATACCACACTTTTATTTATCCATGCATCCACGGATGGGTGCTTAGGTTGCAAGAAGTTTTCATTTTTACAAAATCAAATATATATATATGTCTACATATAATGTAAAGGAGAAGGTCTCAGTACTTTTTTTCCAAACACATGTCCACTTTTCTATCATTATTATTTACTCACCAGACTGATTTGAAATGCCAAATCTTAAAAACCAAATTCACATATATGCGTGGATAGGTTTCTGGACTCTATCCACTTATTTGTCTACTCTTCAATTTCATACTGCTTAAGTACTATAATTCAATAATATAGTTTATATTTGGTATGCAGTCTTTCACTTTTTTCAAATTTTCTTATTTTTGAGCACTTTTGCCTTCAAATGTATACTATGTACAGAACAGTTTACATTTTTCAAAAACTGCTGAAATTTTGATTGAGATTGCACTGAAATTATAGACTGACACAACCATTTTTACAATTTATCTTCCCACCTTCTTTTGTGATCTTTATTCAAGTTTTATAAATGTAATTTTTTTGTTGGTATTTAGTTTTTGTTGTCATTATGAATAGAATCTCCTTTTTTTCCCATACTATTTTTTAAATTACTATGGGTGAATAAGAAAGCTATTGATTTTTGTGTGTCAAGTATACATCCATCTCTTAGTAATTAGTTCCAATAATTACATATTCCTTTTATAATCAGAAAAAAATTTTAATTATGCAAACTAAAAAAGCTAATGTCAAAAAGTTACATACTGTATGATTCCATTTATATAATACTGTTTTTTTGTGTTTCTTGTTGTTTTTTGAAACCCAGGCTGGAGTGCAGTGGTACAATCTCTGCTTACTGCCACCTCTGCTTCCTAGGCTCAAGCAATCTCCTGACCCCAGCCTCCTAAGTAGCTGGAACTACAGGTACACACCACCACACCAGGCTAATTTTTGTATTTTTTGTAGAGATATTATATATTCTTAATGACATAATTAAATATTCTTAAATGACATAATTACAAAGATAGAGAACAGATTAGTGGTTGCTAGGGATTAGGACAACGGGAAGGGAGGTAGCTGAAGCTACAGATGAATAACCCAAGTGATCCTGAAAATGAAACTGTTCTGTACTTGACTGTGGCGGTGGTCACAGATGTGAGCTACACAGAACACACACACACTCTGTCTCTCATACACACAAACATGTGCATGTAAACTAAGTCAATGGACTGTATCAATGCCTTTTCCTTGGTTGTAATATTATGCTAAAGTTATGCAAAACAGTACCGCTGGGTAGATGTATGACTTTTATTCTTTATATTACTTCTTACACATTCAGGTGAATCTACATTTACCTCAAAATAAATAGTTTTTTAAAACTTTCAAGTAAGATAAAAAAAAGGGCAAAATTTAATTTAGAATTCTACTATGCCTGAACACATATCTATCATTTCAGAATTCTTGGTAAATCAGTGAATTCAAAATGCCTCTTAGTAAATCTCAGCTAAGTATGAATTTGAATACTGAACTTCACCAGCATGCCCAAACCCGTAATCTACTTCTTTGTCTTAAGAACAGAACACGTTACATTTCTAGAACATTCTTCAATAGAATGATGTTATTTAAGAGAATTTCCCTTTCACTTCCATATAGCAAATAAAGTGATGGAAAAGGAGGAAACAGCAAAAGAAAAGATTTCTATCAGATTTCTGGGGAAAAGAAAACAAGTTTATGAAATGTTATTAGCTTAAAAAAAAAAAGTACAGTATAAAATTCTACAACAAAAGGTTATAGAGTTAAAACTACTTACTTAAAAAAAAAAGGTGTGAGCCAGGCATGATGGCTGACACCTGTAATTCCAGGCGTTTGGGAGGCTGAGACAGCAGGACCGCTTGAGCCCAAGAGTTCAAGACCAGCCTGGGCATCATGGCAATAACCCATTCCTACAAAATTTAAAAATTAGCCAGGTGTGGCAGTGCACACCTGTGGTCCCAGTTACTCAGGATGGTGAGGTAGGAGGATCACTTGACCACAGGAGGTCGAAGCTACAGTGAGCCATGTTTGTACCACTGCACTCCAGCCTGGGCAACAGAGTGAGAACCTGTCTCAAAAAAATAAAAAAGTATGTCCCTCACCTAAAACAATTTAATTTGCCTTAAAGTCTTTATCTTCCTCATTTTCTAAACCTGTTTTCATGATTTGTTAGAGATTATTCATTAATTAGGGATTGCCAAAATGACCAATTACAGTAAATTACAACGTAGAAGCATTTTAATTAAGAATACCCTTCTTTTCTCTTATAATGTGGTTTTACTTCATCAGATGAAATGCTTCGGGAAAGGATCAACTTAGCAATAATAAGAGACCACAATGTGCCATGTTCTCTGGACCTAAAAAAAGAAAAAAAAAATTATATTCCATTTTGAAACTGTACTTAATAAAATTTTTAAACACAGTCTAGCTGAATCCCTTTTACAGAATTAAATAAAGCACCTTGTGATGGCATCAATTCACCTAAGACTTTGCACCCAAGCAACTGCCAGTAATTATCCAAAGAATTGGGAGTTTAGGCTTTCAACACTCCTTCACAGCTGGTACTAAGCTCTCATCCCTAGGCAACTCCAAAGTCTCTTCAGTCCCAATAGGGGAGATGATCTTAGAGATTAGGCTTGAAGACCAGAGGCTGCAGCTGGGAAAAAGACATCTCCCAGAGGACACTAGGCTGGCTTAAGTTGAACAATCAAAGAGGTTTTTTGGTTCTGAGGAAAGTTGTGAGTATCAACTAACTAGAATGGGATTGGAAAGGAAGCCTGGGTCCTCTGATACAGCAATGCTCAAAGTACTATCAACAAGGGATAAACTCTTAAAGAGAAGGCAGTTCAACACAGCAATTTTACAAAGCTAAACATCTTACTCCTATAACCTCTACAGGGACTCTGTTTTCATAACTACCTTCCTCATCTAGGGGAGAGAGCTTTGTGGTCATAACATTAAGACACACCTATAACATGTAAGATAAAGGATGAATCTGAGAGTACTGGGAGGTTGGGTAACAGAAAAAACAACTTCTACAAGCTTCTACTACTTTTTTGTCATCTGACCCCTGAATGTATTTATGGATTTAATAAGACAGGCAGAGTACAAATATCTTCCCCTGAGAAGGTTAAATCAAGTATTTAGAATTCATAAACTGTTTATCATTAAGAATAGGAATTATTAGATCAATCCTCTGACTGAAACATTAGCATGAAGTAGGGTTACATCTTATAGAAGGCAAAGCCATAAAGAAATAGCATAGTCATGGCCAGGCGCGGTGGCTCACGCCTGTAATCCCAGCACTTTGGGAGGCCGAGGTGGATGGATCACAAGGTCAAGAGATCTCTCCCATCCTGGCCAATATGGTGAAACCCCGTCTCTACTAAAAATACAAAAATTAGCTGGGTGTGATGGTGCGTGCCTATAGTCGCAGCTACTCAGGAGGCTGAGGCAGGAGAATTGCTTGAACCCAGGAGGCAGAGGTTGCAGTGAGCCGAAATTGTGCCACTGCACTCCAGCCTGGCACCTGGCGACTGAGCAAGACTCTGTCTCAAAAAAAAAAAAAAAAAAAAAAGAAAGGAATAGCATAGTCATTTAAAAAACAGAAATTGGAAGAGATTCTTACCTGTTAAATAACAGCTGCAAAAGGCCAGAAGTATTACCAAGTACACGTAAATTATCATATGTGATATTCATTTTTTGAAGCATTTCACAAAATCCAGTTAGAAAAACAGGGTTATCTAGTTCTTCACACCACTGCAGTGAATAAAGCAGTTCTGCAACTAAAAGAAGAGACCAAATTATCAAAAGTACTTTGTGAACAAACCCTTCAATTATTTTCACTTCTCTGCCTTGTTTTCTAACACTGTTGTACCCACTCATCTCAAAACACCTATGAACTGATTTTCAAATCTGCTTTGAAATGTTCAAAGATAATGAAAACTGAGAACATTTGTCTGATACAAAATACCACCCTTTTCCCAAATTTTACTTAGTCCGTTTTCTAATTAGTTAAGAATGTGACAAGAACCTAAGTTACTAGAGATACTGAAAGAATCTTCCTACCAATTTGGCACAATTGATAAAAAGTTGTATACAGGAAAAATAACTAAGGGACCCAAGACCTGAGGTGAGAAGTTCATGCCAAATAGGAGAAATGGGAGACAGTATGATATAGTAAAAGGGCATGGGCCTCAGTTACAGATTGGGGTAGATTCAAATCTGCATCTCTCTCAAACTATATAAATAGTTATCAATTAGGATACTACAAACTACCTCACAGGACTGTTATATGAATTAAATGACCAAGTATCTATTATGAAGTCTGGCATATCTTAGGTTTCTAATACACAGTCACAACTCCCTTTTATAAAGGGTATCACAAGTATCCCATAAACATGTACAATTATCAGGTATCAATTTTTTTTTTAATCAACAGAAAATTCTGAATCCTTGATAAAACACCAAAGCCTCACCCATTTTCTTTAGGGTATGTGCCACAGGATCTGCTTATATTGATGTCATAACAGCCTGAGTAGCCTGAGTAGCTAACATCAACTTATGATCCACGGTTAACATGATTATAGCAAGATGCCAAATGCTTCCATCTAATTTGCAATTTAACATTCACCACTTCAAGGTTTTCAACATTAAAATAGGAAAAAGAAGGCTGAAGATTCTTGAATTAAAGATCTAAATTGCAGTGTAGTCAAAATTATTTCAAAATTGTATTTATTCATGCATCATGTTATATGTAAATGCTCATATATACTTACTTATTTTCTCAAGCTCATTATTTTCTAAGACTATTTTCTTTCTCAGTGCAATTAAGACCATTTTGCTCAATAATGCTGAAGTACACAAATGGCTGGGAAGTGTCTTTATGTCCTGCTCCTTAAAATCTGTTTTGAAACATTCATAATTCAAACTCAATCTTCCCTCTAAAAGAGGTCTATGTAACCACTGTGAAAAAAAAAAAACACATTATATACAAAGTTATTTATTACCTAAGCAATTCAGACTGAACAAAAAATAAAGCTGTGAGAAGATTTAAATTTATTAGCAAAACCATAGGACCCTAGAAGTTTGGTTTCTATTACAGGAAATTAACATGTGCATTTCTTCAAGACTCTTTAAGTACAGAACCAGATCTTAAGTCTTTGTACCATGGCCACTGCCACAGTCAAAATGTGTCTTGCAAAAAGCAAACATCCGGTATACGAGCATACAAAAACATAAAAGCAAAGCAAAATATTCATTTTATTTATTTTTTTCTCCCCCAAAATAAAATAAAAATATTCAAGCTTGCACGAAATCCAAACTTCAAAATGAAATATGCACTGTCCAATTTCAAAAATACCTGCATAGGAAGAGACTGCCTCATCTTTTCCCATTCACTGTTGTTTGGCATTACACTTCCAATGTACACACCCATAAGATAAGAATCTTCACTCTCTAGAAGCGTATTTAGCAAATCATCAACAGCAGACAAGAGGACTTGGAGACTAAAAATAATGCAAAGAATTTAACTGTTGCAGTTATGCCATGACTAGTTTGAATACCCGAGTACATGTTAAGTACCCTATAATAGCATACCTGAACAAAAAGAAATGATGAAAATAAAAAGAGGTAAGTAGGCCGGGCGCAGTGGCTCAAGCCTGTAATCCCAGCACTTTGGGAGGCCGAGGCGGGTGGATCACAAGGTCAAGAGATCGAGACCATCCTGGTCAACATGGTGAAACCCCGTCTCTACTAAAACTACAAAAAATTAGCTGGGCATGGTGGCGCGTGCCTGTAATCCCAGCTACTCAGGAGGCTGAGGCAGGAGAATTGCCTGAACCCAGGAGACGGAGGTTGCGGTGAGCCAAGATCGCGCCATTGCACTCCAGCCTGGGTAACAAGAGCGAAACTCCATCCCAAAAAAAAAAAAGAGGTAAGTGATGCTCCCCGACCAACAACACATCAACATAACACAGTCAAACTGGGGAGGTAATACAATATTTATCATTTGAAATCTAGTGTTGCTTCCTATCTATCTCAGAATGAAGGAGACCTGACCTATTTCACACCAGGTATTTTGGAAATATAGCTACCTTATGAAATTCAACATCATTTTACCTAACCCCAATATCCTCTAAATGCATTCTCTCCTTTATTCTATGGATTTAACTATGAGATGTAAAATATACTTGTAATTCAATACCTTAAAACAGTGCCTACCTGCTCCCCAAAAATAAACCAGAACTATCAGTACATGTGGTGACCATGACAGGCTACAATGCACACCAGCCTATGACAAAGGATAATATCACTATCACTTTACTGTCTATAAATTATGAGTCTTAGCAGGTATGGTATAGCAAATTATCCTTCAATTAATTGGCAGTTTAAATGGATGGTCATTGAAACAAAATGGTTTTGGAAAAACTTGTTTGGATCTTTTCTTAAGAGTCCTATAGATTTGTTACCTAGCAAGTCATTTTTCATTTTTCCTTTTTTAAAGAGACAGCATCTCACTATGTTGCTCAGCCTAGTCTTGAACTCCTGGAGGCCTCAACTGATCCTCCGACCTCCGCCTACTGAGTAGCTGGGATTATAGGCATGAGCCCTACAAGTCATTTTTCATAGGCACTCACATTGATGATGGAATCTTATTTAAGGACACTGATCAAGTATAAAAGAGACAATGAAACCAAGCTCAAATGAGGTCACCTGTTGATATCCAAAGATGAAGCCTGAACTTGGTTCTTCAGCCACAGAGCAGACAAATGTAGGAAGGTACTCTCTTTATATGTACTGTCAGTTTGATGAACCAATAAATTTACACCAGAGAGCCAAGTATTTTTCAGTTTAAAAATAAGAAAATCTGAAATCAAGATGTCAACAGGAATTTATCATCTCACTGAATTAACTCTAACCAGCATGAAATGTTTGAAACAATTCTGCAGAGCTGAGATTTTTTAAAACACCATTTAAAAAAGAAAAATTTTTAATTCAATTGCCATTCAAAATTCAACTGCCAAACAAAGCAACTGTGTCATAAACATGCAATAATACAAGCTAGCTTGTATCATAAAAATGTAAAATGATAAAGATTTTAAAAGTACATTTTTTCTGCTTGAACTTATTTACAAGACTTTTCCTTTTGGATATGTTAAAAAAAATGTTACACCTTTTTCAAATACAGAAGTTAGTATTAAAGAAAGGGTTGGTAGCCAATGATTGGCAGAAAAAAAGAGGGAGAGAGGAGGAAGAAGGAAAAAGAGAGAACATAGAGTTAGAGAATAGCTCTCTATAGGTAGTATTTTTTTATATTCCTTTCACAAATAAGTCTGAATTAGCATATAAGACAAGAATATAGTCCTTAAAAAGATAATATCATAAAGCAGGAATTTAGTCCTTAAAATGATCATCTCAATTCCATCTTGATATACACTAAAGATTGAATGCTGTTACTATAACAAAGGGATATTATCCCCCTGTTACAAATGAGGAAACTGAAGCACCAAGAAATTAAGCAGCATGCCAGAACTGCTGAGAAAGATTCTAACTAATCAATTATGGCTCATTCCAAATTTCTTTTAATATCAAGTTAGAACTTTAGAAAAAACATCTTTAACTTAGTTTCTAAAGCTGAAAGTGTATATGACTGTAGTCCTTTACTCAAAATGCTTTAAACTTTCAAACACATTATGATTCAATTAATAAAGCCTGGGCACTTACACTCACTATGAAGGTCAGAGCCGGAGATTCCCAACAAAACATTTGAGCAGTAGGCTATTACCTGGCATATGTGTTTTTTCTTTGCTCTGAGCACATAACTGAAAGAGAGTTAATAATAAATCTTCAGATGATGGCATTAGCAAGCATCCTTTTGCTGAGCTGAAATAGTTATAGGCCACATCACAGATAAAAGACACTGATGAGTCACTATTTTCAGCTTCTGATAATTTCTTTGTTTTGAATAAAGTTTCATGAAGTTTAACAATAATTCTTTCAACATATACGTCTCCAATCAAGTAATCTAGAGAAAAAAGGTTCAAACAGACAAAAAAATAAAAATATTAACGTGCACTTTTAAATATCTTACTTTGGGTTAATTATCTAATGGGTGTTTCCATGGATTTTAAAATGGTGTTTATGTATCAGACAAAATTTTAACAAATCAACACAGTCTCTCACATATAAAGGCCCTCAGGTAAAAAGGCAGTTTTAAATTAAGTAGAAAACAAAAACGGCCTACACAATTAGGGTGAGCAACTTTGCTACACTCAAACCCTTTATAAGTCATGAGTCAACTTTATATGAGTTAAAAAAAAAAACAACCTTTAGGATATAAAACTAAAAATATTAAATATCTTCCAAGTCATGGTATGAAGATTAATAAACATTTAGGTACTTATAAGATATGTAAATGGACCAGGTGCAGCAGCTCATGCCTATAATCACAGCACTCTGGGAGGCTGAGGCGGGCAGATCACCTGAGGTCAGGACCAGTCTGGCCAACACAGTGAAACCCCGACTCTGCTAAAAACACAAAAATTAGCCAGGCATGCTGGCATGCAACTGTAGTCCCAACTACTTGAAAAGCTGAGGCACAAGAATCACTTGAACCCAGATGCAACGAGCCAAGATCACACCACTGCACTCCAGCCTGGATAAGGAGCGAGACTTGGTCTCAAAAAATAGAAAAGATATTTGAATGAATAAGTCTTGTTATTTTCAACCAATAAATGTAAGCTGAGTCCCATGTAATTCCCCACAAAGTGAAATGAATTATTCCCTAATAGAAAAAAAAAAGCCATATTTTTCCTACCATTTTCAACATGTTGGGATAATACCAAACTTAGAAGAGTCCATCTTTCGGGGAAGTCAGATTCTGAAGATACTCGAGATTTCAAGTCGTTATTACAAAGACGATCTGCTAAGTCGACCAATTTCTCACCAAGGATATCGCCTTTTAGCCAAGGAGTTACTAAAGCATGTTTATCTGAACTAGAACAAGCCTAAAACCATAAAATTAAAGCAAAGGTTAACAGCAAGATCAAATACTCTATCTATCCAAAATATTACTTGTACCATATTACTATCCCTTCATTATCATGGCTCCAATTCTATTCCCCACTCCTCCTCCTCCTCCTGAAGTTCTAGGAAGACTGGTATCCTCCCTGTTTCCCACTAAACCTAAATGATGTTCAATTCCATGCTTTGCTCATGCTACCTTCCCAGCCATAAATATTCCCCCATTGTTTTTTGTTTTACTTAAAATCCCATCCATTCTTTGAAAATCAATACAAATCCCACCTACTTTATGGAGTCTCCCCATCCACTCCAGCCCACAATGATCACTGCTTTTCTCTGGATTTCTAAAGCACTTATTGGGTTGTATAATTATATAAATGTTTCATCTGTGTATATCTTGTCTTTCCAATGAGATTGTAAGTTCCTTGAGAGTAGAGAGTGTCTTAAACTTCTTTGATACCTGCTATCAACACTGTAGATATGTTCAATGAATTATGGATAAACTTTGAAAATAGATTTATAAATGTTCTATAAATAGTAAACTTTTGTTCATTAATTTTGCTAAAATTAAAGAACAATTAATGTATAATAATGGTAAATTAATTCAATTATGAACAATGGGATTTATTTCCCCAAATTCTCTGATATAGAGTTACTAAGGCCAGGTATCTGACAGCAACTTGTTTATTTTCATGAGGTGGGGAAGCAAGAAAAAAAAAACTGTAAATACACCCCCAAAGCATGCTGATCCATGTTCCCAGAGCTTCTTTTGCTTTAAGGGCTGAGAAGAAAGGAATTTGCAACTTGGTTCATTTCAAAGCAATCTGGAAGAAAAAAAAAATCCAAGTGCACATTGGGTAGTGCTTGGAAAACTTTATCCTTTTATTTAAAAATTGTAGGTAACCAGAGCTTATGTTTTAGTCCAAGCTTTAGTATTAAACTAGCCTATGACCTTGGACAAATCTTTTAATCAACATGGGCCTATCTCCTAATTTGAAAATTGGGAAGATTAACTTAAAAAATTTCTAAGGTCCTTTTCTGGTTCCAAAACTCAGAACCGTTTTTTAATTGATTGTTTTTTTAAAAGATTGTTTTAAGACCAGCCTGACTAAGCAACATGATGAAACCCTATATCTACTAAAAATACAAAAGTTAGCCAGGCATGATGGCAGGTGCCTGTAATCCCAGATATGCAGGAGGCTGAGGCGGGAGAATCACTTGAATCCAGGAGGCGGAGTTTGCAGTGAGCCGAGATTGTGCAATTGCACTTCATCCTGGACGACAGAGCGAGACTCCCTCTCAAAAAAAACAGATGATTTTAAGACTCTGCTCAAAAAGTATTAAGGTTCCGTAAAACAAGAAAAACTACTTTAGAGTTTAGATGGCAATGATGCCTGCTTTCCCAGTGTAGTTTGACAAGTAAAACCAATCTATTCTGCAGAATCCTGGTAAACAAACTTCTGAATAAAATACCTCTCCAAATAGCAAGGTTAGAAGTTTAACTTAATGTACAGGCATACCTCATTTTATTGGGCTTCCTTTTATTGTGCTTTGCAAATGTTGCAATTTTAAAAATCGATATTTGTGGCAGCCCTGCATTGAGCAAGTTTATTGGCACCATTTTACAACAATATATGCTCATTTTGTGTCTCTGTGTCACATTTTGGTAATTCTCACAATATTTCAAACTTTTTCATTTAGTATATCTGGTATGGTGATCTGCAATCAGTGATCTTTGATGTTACGATTGTAATGTCTGAGGGTGCCACAAACCATTGCCATATAAGAGGGCAAACTTAACAAATATTGTGTGTTCTGACTGCCCCACTGACCAACCATTCCCTAATATTTCTTCTCTGGCTTTGGGCTTCCTTATTCCTTTAGACACAACAATGCTAAAATTGGGCCAATTAATAACATTACAATGTCCTCTAAATGTTCAAGTGGAAGAAGAGTCACACATCTCTCACTTTAAATCAAAAGCTAGAAATGATGAAGCTTAGCAAAGAAGGCATGTTGTAAGCTAAGAGAGGTAGAACGCTAAGGCCTCTTGAGCCAAACAGCCAAGCTGTGAACACAAAGGAAAAGTTCGTGAAGGAAATTAAATGTGCTACTCCTGTGAGCCCAGGAGTAACAAAAAGTGGCACAGACTTACTGCTGATATGGACAAAGTTTTAGTGGTCTAGACAGAAGATCAAACCAGCCACAACATTCCCTTAAGCCAAAACTTAATTCAGAGCAAGATTCTAATTCTCTTCAATTCTATGAAGGCTGAGAGTTGAGGAAGCTACACAAGAAAAGTCTGATGCTAGCAAAGAGTGGTGTATGAGGTTTAAGATACTAACTCCACAATGCAAAAGTACAAGGTGAAGCAGCAAGTGCTGATGCAGAAGCTGCAGCATGTTATACAGAAGATCTAGCTAAGATCAATAATGAAGGTGGCTACACTAAACAGATTTTCACGGGAGATAAAACAGTCATATATTAAAAGATGCCATCTAAGACTCTCATAGCTAGCAAGGAGTCAATGTCTGGCTTCCAAGTTTCAAAGGACAAGCTGACTCTCGTAGGGGCTAATCACTTTAAGTTGAAGCCAATGCTCATTTCTCATTTTAAAAAATCCTAGGGTTCTTAAGCCTAGCTAAATCTATTTTGCCCGTGCTCTAAGTAGAACAACAAAGACTAAATTATGGCACGTTTATAGCATGGTTTATTGAATATCTTAAGCCCACTGTTGGAAAAATGAAGGAAAAAACATTCCTTTCGAAATAGTACTGCTCATTGACAATGCACCTGGGTAACCCAAGATCTCCGACGGAGATCTAGATGGACATGTATAAGGAAATTAATGTTGTTTTCATGCCTGCTAACACAACATCCATTCTGCAGTCCATGAATCAAAGAGTAATTTCTACTTTAAAGTCTTATTATTTAAGAAATATATTTCATTCAGCTATAGCAGCCATAGATAGTGATTCCTCTGACAGATCTGGGCAAAGTCCATTGAAAACCTTCTGGGAAGGCCAGGCTTGGTAGCTCACGTCTATAATCCCAGCACTTTGGGAGGACAAGGTGGGTGGTTCACGAGGTCAGGAGATCGAGACCACCCTGGCCAACACGGTGAAACCCCATCTCTACAAAAAAAAAAAAAAGAAAACCTCCTGGAAAAAACTCACCGCCATTAAGACATTCAAGAACCATGGGAAAAGGCTAAAATAGTAACATTAATAGGAGTTGGGAAGAAGTTGATTCCAATCCTCATGGGTGACGTTGAGAGGTTCAAGACTTTAGTGTAGGAAGTAACTGCAGATATGGAGGAAAGAGGCAAAGAACTAGAATGATGCAAGAAGCCTGAAAATGTGACTGAAATGCTGTAATCCCACAATAAAATGTGGATGGATGAGGAGTTACTTCTTAAAAAAGTGGTTTCTTGAGATGGAATCTACTCCTGGTGAAGTGCTGTGAACGCTGTTGACATGATCACAAAGGATTGAGAGAATATCACATAAACTTAGATGAAACAGCAGTGGCAGAGTTTGAAAGGATTGACTCCAATTCTGAAAGAGGTTCTTCTGTGGGTAAAATGCTATCAAACAGCATTGCATGCTACAGAGAAATCTATCATGAAAGGAAGAGTCAATCAATGCAGCAAACTGCACTGTTGTCTTATTTTAAGAATCTGCCACAGCCACTCCAGTCTTCAGTAACCACCCTGATCAGTCAGCAGCCATGATCGAGGCAAGATTCTCCATCAGCAAAATGATTACAACTCGCTGAAGGCTCAGATGATCATTAGCACTATTTAGCAATAAAATAATTTTAAAATATGTACATTGGTTTTTAGATGTAATGTTATTACACACTTAATATAGTGTAAACAGAACTTTTATATGCACTGGCAATCCAAAAAAATTATGTGACTTGCTTTACTGCCATGGTCTGGAACTGAAATTACGATATCTCTGAGGTATGCCTGTATGAACATATCTAATGAAAGAAGCTGCCTAGCTGTAAGGAGATGAGGAGGCTACAAACACTGCCTAGGAAGTTCCAATCACAGCTCAGGAAGAGGATATGCTTCCACACAGGTGTGAGTATTTGCACTTTATGACAGGTACATTCCTAAGCTGGAAATGGATATGTTAGTCCACTCTTATCAAATGATTTACAACCCCTGCTCTGATTCAAGACTTATAAAGGAGCTTTCTGATAATTCTGTAACTTGGCTACAGGGAAAGAAGGCACTGGATAAACTAATGTAAACAGTGTGCCTGTGTCATATTCCTCACTGAAAAATAAATATTCTGTATTTATTTTCTAAAAATAAAACTATGGGGAAAATGAGGGGTTACTATTTAATGGATACAGGGTTTAAGTTTGGCAAGATGAATTAAGTTATGGAAACTGCACTACAGTGTAAATATACTTGACACTACTGAACTGTACATTTAGATAGAAATGGTTAAGATGGTAAATTTCATGCTATTTGTTTGTTTACTACAATTTTCTTACTAAATAATAGAAAAAACTTGCAAATTCAAGAGTTAGCTATGAAAACAAAAAATAATTTGAAAATGCTTTAAAAAGGAGCAAGAATTTTAGGTAGCTAGTCATAACAATATTTCTATAGTTGAAAAAGTGTTAGTTACAACATTTACATCCTCATTAGGAAAGAACACAAGTCGTTTTGTGAAAACTTGTAAATTGCTTTCATTATTTTATTTCTTTTCATTATTCTTCCCAATAATATTCTTAGTCAGTGACAATCACGAACAGACTGGAAGATTTTTATTTACATACATTGTGTTCCCAAGGAGAGAAAACTTAATTTCCTGCTGTGTTCTAGCCAAAGCTAGAACCACCAATCCATTTCTACAGCAGAAAAAGTAACTAAGAGCAGAAAGGTGTAGCCTTAATTAAAAGATAATAAAATGTTTTAATCTGCCCTTTTTTAGCCTCTAGGAAAGAAAGAAATGATTTTCCAGAGCCTGTTCATTTTTCCCTAATATTACTAATCAGAAAAATACTACTACAGGAAAGGAAAAGAACAAATATCTTCCCATATTATAGGAAGAAAGTCACAAAAACAAGGAAGTTCTCTAACACAGAACCTGACTACCTGACCATATTTATTGTATAAGACTATGATTTTAATATTTGTATTCCCATAAATATATAAAAAAAGAAAAAAATCCCTAAGATACCTTTTCAATAATCTTAAGAAGAGAATTCCACTTCAGGTCCACCTGAAAAAAGAAAAAGAGTTAGAAACAATCTGCTAGAAAAACTTTTTGTTTGAGACAAGGTTTTGCTATGTTGCCCAGGCTAGTCTAGGACTCCTGGGCTCAAGCCATCCTCTCACCTCAACTTCCTGAGTAGTTAGGACGACTACATGCATGCACCAACATGTCCAGCTAAAACTTTTAAAAAGTAAATGAAGGCCGGGCGCAATGGCTCACGCTTATAATGCCAGCACTTTGGGAAGTCAAGGCGGGAGAATCATGAGGTCAGGAGATAGAGATCATCTGCCAACATGGTGAAACCCCATCTCTACTAAAATACAGAAAATCAGCAGGCACAGTATTCCACGTCTATAGTCACAGCTACTTGGGAGGCTAAAACAGGGGAATTGCTTGAACCCGGGAGGTGGAGGTTGCAATGAGCTGAGATCATGCCACTGCACTCTAGCCTGGGTGACAGAGTGAGACTCCATATTAAAAATAAAATAAAAGTAAATGAAGTACCCATGTAACCAATACAAAACTAAAACATTCTTTTTTTTTTTTAATTGCATTTTAGGTTTTGGGGTACATGTGAAGAACATGCAAGATTGTTGCATAGGTACACACATGGCAGTGTGATTTGCTGCCTTCCTCCCCTTCACCTATATCTGGCATTTCTCCCCATGCTATCCACCCCCAACTCCCCACCACCTGCTGTCCCTCCCCTCTTTCCCCCCAACAGACCCCAATGTGTAGTGCTCCCCTCCCTGTGTCCATGTGTTCTCATTGTTCAACACTCACCTATGAGTGAGAACATGCGGTGTTTGATTTTCTGCTCTTGTGTAAAACTAAAACATTCTTATTCAACTTTTTAAATGTATGGATTAAAAGAATTCACCTTTTAATTACCAAGTATCTATCACCCTGGTACTGCTGAACATCTACCCAGCAGCCTTAGATACTTCCCAAATCATGATCAAGAATATATTGCTTATCACCAAATTGGCACTCACAGTGAAGAAACAACCAGAAAACAATACGCAGGCTCATTCTACTCATCTATTATTGAAATAGCTTAAAAAGATATACAAGAGGAATACCTTGGTTAGATCATCCAAGACTTTTTTTCTTTCCATATCATTGTCACAGCACCCAAGAGCACTGTACAAAATGTCCACCAGGAAACCAGAATCCTTCCTTTGATCTTCATTTAGCCAACCTATCAGTTTCTGGTATAAAAACTGCACCGCGGGATTTTTTTGTGCAAGCTTGGCTATTTCAGGAGGTTTGGCTTGGCCAATACTCTGTTTTTCATCACCAAGTAGCATTTTAAATACTTGGCTTGAAGAAAAGGAGTCAAGCAGAGTAGAAAGAAACCTCAGATGTTGCTCTGACTTTTGTTCATTGACATAATTAAGGCTCATCTCTGCCAGTTTACAGACTAAGACTTCCAAAGGTTTTTTCCTTAGAGGAGATAAAAAGTCTGAAGAATTATGAGTGAGAGAAGGTTCAGTTGATAATTCCCAGCCTTCAATGTTCTCTCCTTCTGAAGATACACATTTTTCACTCTCTTTATTACTTTCAGGTGTCTCATCAGCAAATCTAACCTTACCATTTTTTTTCTTATTTGACTTCAATGAGCTCTTTGGCTTCTGAAGCACCTGTAATAGGTTAGATACACCCAAAACGGACTCAGCATTAGCTTCTGGCTCATTGATTTTCGAGATACAGATCTCTGACAGTCTTTCCCAGAAACGTATCAGTACATTCTCCAAGTTGTGAGCTGTTTTTTCATCTTTTTCCGTGTCTGCTTTGGCTTCCCAGGAACTTAAAGTTTCGGCTAAATGGTTAAATAGCTGCCCATGTTGCAACCCTGGGTCTTTGAGAACTGCATCAATAAAAGGGATCAACTGAAAGAAAAGGTATAGTATCATAAAATATACATTTGGTCTTCAACCTCCATCTCCTGGCACACAACTCTAAAATCCCTGGAATCTCCAAAGTGACACCATTTTGTAAACTAATAGGTTGATTGGTGGCTGGCAGCACCTATATAGCAGGATGGGGGCCTGTCTTCAGAAAGATCAAGGCAGGATTAAAGGGCTAGAACTTTCCATACCACCCCAACCTCCAGGGACACAGAGGCAGCCGAAGGTTAAGCTGATCACCAGTGACAATTACTTAATCATTTATGCCTAGTAATGAAGCCTCCATAAAAATGCAAAAAGACAGCATTCAGGGAGCTTCCAGATAACTGAACATGTGGAGGTTCCTGGAGGGTAGCACACCCAGGGAGGGCATGGAAGTTCTTCAACCCTTCCCATATCTCACCCTATGCATTTCTTCATCTGTATCCTTTGTAATATCATTTATAATAAACTGGTAAATTGTTTTTCTGAGTTCTGTGAGCCACTATAGCAAATTAAGCAAACCCCAGGAGGGGGCCATGGGATCCCTGATTGATAGCTGGTTGGTCAGAAGCCCAGGTAAAACAGCCTGGGGCTTAAGATTGGCATCAGAAGTGAGGACCAGTCTTGTGGGACTGAGTCCTAAATCAGTGAGATCTGCCACCATCTCCAGGTAGATAGTCAGAACTGAATTAAAGAACACATAGCTGGTGTCTGCTACAGAACTGACTGCTTGCTTGGTGGGGAAAAATCCCCACATAGTCACAGAAGTCTTCTGTGTTGATTACTATAATGTCAAAGTAAAGGAAAAACTGTTTTTTCCATTCACAGAAGGTAAAAAATGTAAAAGTTCAATTTTCTTTCAAGAGAAATAAAATTTAAACAAAGTATTTGTAAAGCACTATAAAATTTCATATTTAACAACTGAAAAACATAAATTTTCCCCTAGAACTATGAAAAAAGCTACCTTGAAGATCCCTTTCGTATCATACAAGAGCTTAATGATTTCACCTGAATTATTTCTTTTTCATGATATAACTGGCTGGGATTCTTGGTCATTAACAATCTAGTTTTCTTTGCATCTTCTGGACTCGAGTGTTTTGTTTTTCTGCCTTAATTATAGGCAAATCTAAGATTTGAGACTACAAGCCGATATGAAAGATACCTAGGACCCACAAGAGTGCAGAATCCTATTTCCTAAATTATAAAAATAAGGGAAGTTAACTGAGACATCCTAGGATGTGGGCTTCTATAATCTCACTAAGTTCCTATAGTAAAGAACCATATTCCACAACCTACTCTTATCTCTGGTTCTAAAAGCCAAACCAAACTTTCACAAAGCATAATTTGAGTATTTTAGAATAGACAGATGATTATTTCATGATTTAAACTTGCTATAAAAGATCACAAATAGCATCTTCAAAATTCTGTTTTGCATTACATCTTTCTCAAACAGGGTTTTTACAGGCCGGGTGCAGTGGCTCACGCCTGTAATCCCAGCACTCTGGGAGGTCGAAGCAGGTGGATCACCTGAGGTCAGGAGTTCACAACTAGCCTGATCGACATGGTGAAACCCTGTCTCTACTAAAAATACAAAAATTAGCTGGGCATGGTGGTGGGCACCTGTAATCCCAGCTACTTGGGAGCCTGAGGCAGAAGAATCATTTGAACCCAGGAGGCAGAGGTTGCAGTGAGCCAAGATTGCACCATTGCACTCCAGCCTGGGCAACAAGGAGTGAAACTATGTCTCAAAAAACAAACAAACAAACAAAAAAACAGGGTTTATGCATCCAGACACTGGATCATACCATTTCTTAGGTATCATACCATGCTACCAACTGACAGCAGAAATACACATTATTCAATTGGCAAATTATAAAAATAAAATTTTTACAAGGAAGGCTTATTACTGAAAATGGCAACAAGTCACAATGAGCTTGATCCTATATAATAAGTATGCAAAGACACTGACGACTTTTACATTATAGATACCTGATCATTGACGAGCATCTGTTCAATCTCTTCCTCACCTAAGTTTTGCTGCATTATAAAACGTAAGCATTCAAAAAAAGCAGATATTACTGCCGAGGACTCTGAAGAGCTGGTTTTAGTTTTCTCTGTTGATAGCCTAAGAAATAATTAATAACTGGATTACTCTTTCATGAAGAAGAAAATAAGAACTCAGAATTATCAAAATAAAGACCTTAAATAGGTATCAATCAGAAGAAAAAATTTTAAAGCAGTTTCTTAAACTACAAGTTAAATACCAACAAAAATACATATAGCCCAATGAGAATATGAACTTTAAAAACTTTGAAAAAATATTTCAAAAAACATATCAGCAAAAAGTAAAAGCATATTTCCTTTAGCTTCTTCTTTTTTAGAGATAGGGTCTGCTATCTTGACCAAGCTGGTCTTGAATTCCTGACCTCAAACAATCCTCCCACCTCAGCCTTGGCCTGTGCTAGGATTACAGCTGTAAGCCACCATGCCCAGCTGAGATATTAATTTTCTATTCATGGACCAATCCACCTGCAGTTTCAAGATAACATTAACCAAATAAAGATAATGGTATAGTAAAAAAAAAATCTGTAATCATTAATAAAACACTGTATATTCTAAGTTCATCAAATGTACTGAAATAGTTTTTTAAAGAGTGAATTTAAACACCTATAGTAGTTAAATTTGTGGACATTTAAAAAATTTCACTGGCTAAGTTACTGCATTTAGGCATTTGTATTGATCAACATGAAAAATAAAACGGTTACGTGTCTCTGTGGCACAACTGGTTAGCACATTCTGCTGTTAATAAATGGCTAATTTGAAAAATAGCCTAGGTGACCTATTTCCAACTAGCAGCTTTACCTTATTTATCTAACTTTCTGCTGTGTTCTACCACTGAAGCCTTGAATACACTCAAGAAAAAAATACCAATTGTAATTCTCTTTTGAAAAAAATACCAAATGTAATTCATTAAGTAAAAATACTTAATGAATAGTAAAAAATGCTGGAGA